ATATATATATGTGTATTTGTGATTTGGGGGATCAAAGAAACACATAGCCTTGTGTGTGCTAAGCACATGCACTAATGCTGAGCTGCATCCTGTGTGGACATTTGGTTGAGGCACTGCATATTACCTTGCATTGTTGACATTCTGTGTCCCCAGCTAGATTCTGAATACCTTTAGAATAGGGATCACACATCATAAAACATAAAAGTGAGTCAGGTATGGTAGCGCATTCTTATCATCCCAGCACTCAGGAGGCTGAGGCAGGAGGATTGCCAGGAGTTCCAGGCCCATCTGACCTACATAGCAAGACCTTGTCTCAAAAAAATAAATAAATAAATAAATAAAATAAAAAATAAACAACAACATAGAAGTGCTCTGAAAATAAATACTTGAACGAATGAGCACAGTGACCAAGGAAAATTTTGTTTGGAACATTGGGGGGTGGGAATGGTCATCTGGAAATCTGAATCTTTTTCAAACTAAAGAAAAGTGAACCTTCTTAGTATAGTGCTGAATACCTATCGAAACTCATATGGATATTTGGATAGATACAGGTCTCGATTTCTAGGAAGTTGCAGTGACTAGCATAATTAATGACATGGAAAACAGAAAAGGCACCCTGAGCCCCCTACTTGCTTCTCTTTCCTTTTTTTTTGAAACAGGGTCTTGCTCTGTAGTTCAGGCTGTCTGAAAATCACTATGTAGCCCAGGCTGGTCTCAAATTCACAGTGATCCTCCTGCCTCGGCCTCCTGAGAGCCAGGATTACAGGTGTGCGGCACTGTGCCCCACTTTTCTTTCCCGTTCTTGAAGGGCAACTAGCAGGTGGAACAGGGATTTCCTGCGGTGTGGGAACACTTCTTGCTCAGTCTCAGAAGATTATAATTTATTGCCAGGAACGTATTAGGCACCTCCTAAATACCTAATTGGCACAGAGCTGATTGCATGGGAATAAAGAGATATTTTTGAGATCATGGGCAGGTTATGTGGGAATTATCTTTGTCATCTTTATTATTACCTTTGGATTATTTTATTCAATAAATTAGGAGACTCAGTTTTAGTCTACATCACATTTCTGGGCCAGGGATTTAGCTCAATGGTTCCACTGCCTGCCTTGGAAGCACAAGGTCCTGAGTTCGATCCCCAGTATCCCCCCCCCGCAAAAAAAAGCACATTTCAGTGATTTGCAAACCCTATAAGAACACTTTAAAACTAGTCAGAGCAGGGCTGGGGTTGCATCACAGGGGTGCCACACCTGCCTGGCAAGCTCAAGGTCCTGAGTTCGATACCCAATACCAGGAAAAAAAAAAACAAACTACAAAGAACAGGGAAACAAAACATTCTGTAATATTCAAATTTTAAGTGTTTTTTTGTTTTTTGTTTTTTGGTACCAAGGACTGAACTTGGGACCTTGCGCTTGCAAAGCAGGCGGCAGAACCACTGAGCTAAATCGCCCGGCCTGTAATATTCAAATTTTAATGTAAAAAAGCTTGAATATTCTATGTGTAGTAGAATTTTAGATGTTTTATTTTCATGATTTTGTTAACCTTGACTGTTTTCTTCTTAACGTCCTTGAATTTTGAACCAGGTGCAGCAATTGCTGGCGTTTACCGAGCCGCAGGGAAGCAGATGATACCGTTTGAAGCCCTCACCTTGGGCACGGGACAGACGTTCTGTGTAGTGGTGGTCTCCTTCTTACGGATTTTAGCCACTTTATAGCATACACTCCCGTGCTGTGATATGGAACCGAAGTTTTATAGAATCCTCAAAATGATATTATTGAATGTAGCATTTTCTTAGTTCTTCAAGTGGAAGCTATTTGGATGAAGAGGAATGTGAACATCTCAGCCCTTTCTTCAGTTTGAAGCTCCAGTATTTGAAGATCTTTGCAGACTCCTATGATTCTTGACCAAAACAAACAAGTTTCTTTGGCTTTCTCTTTTGCAAAATCCACAGGCACCTTTAAGCTACGCCAGTGCCCCTGCCGTCACTGTTGCACTGGAAGTTGCCACATTTTGTTAGAAAATGTAATGTCTTGTATTTCAGAAACTGGGAAATATTGGTTTATTTCAAGTAAGCAAAGTGTATTGTTACTGAAATGTTAACCTAATCTTGATTAAAATTTGGTAAACTTTTCTTTTACTATATCCTTATGACAGTAAAACCATGTAGGAAGAACAAGTAGGTTTTGGTTGATTATAGTTTTAAGAACAGATTTGGTGAGATACAGGAGAAAGAAGGGAAGTATAATTCAAGTAATGACTGGAGGCCTCCGTTAAAGAAAAAGTAGATAACTGCAGATAATGTGACATCTTATGGATAACTGTCTTGACCTCAATTATTCAGCAGAATGAGCTAACTGGGTTTTTTTTTTTTTTTTTTGGTACTGGGGATCAAACTCGGGACCTTGCACTTGTGTGGCAGGCAGAACCATTGAGCTAAATCCCTGGCCCTAGCTGGGTCCTTTTTGTTTTGTTTTATTTTCTTTTTCTAAGGGACAGTATCTTTTCTTGTTGCCAGGGTGGGCCCAACTCTTAGGCTTAAGTGATCCTTCTGTCTCAGCCTCCCAAGAAGCACAATCGTCATGCATGGCTGAACTTTTAAATTTATTTTTTAAAGAATTTCCATACAAGGCTGGGGATGTAGTTCAGTGGTAGAACACTTGCTGAGTGTGTATGAGGCCCTAGGTTCAATCCCAGCACCACAAAAATAAAGAATTTCCATGTCACCTTTTACTATCTCTTTTAATTGTATTTATTTGGCTTAGTTAGAAACACACATGCCAATTCAGTAGTTTTTGAGTTGGAAATTTTAAGCTATATTGATTAGGCTACTCTTTGGGTATTGAACACAAATGAGTTACTTCAAACATTCTGTGATAGTTTTTTTTTAGTAACTTTTGTTTTTTAGATGGCTTCTGAGAAATTGTAGGCATACAGCTGAAACTGGAGTTAGTGGCTGTTGATTCTCAGTGCATTTACCTGGTGTTACCTCTTTTGTGGTATTTGAGTATCAACTCCCAGAAAGTGCCTAAAACTACATTTCAGTTAGGCCTCCCACTCTGCCCTTTACATTTTTATTCAAGAGAATTTTTATCATTAAAGAGAATTAACTATCAATGTTTTTTTTCTTTAAACTTAATTTTTGGGCTGGGGATGTGGCTCAGTGTTTCTGACACCTGTCTCACAAGCACGAGTACCCTTGGTATCCCCGGTACAAAAATAAATAAATAAACCTCAGTTTATATCTGTTTTAATTTTTATTAAATTTTTTATTAATTTTTATTAAATCTGCCTGTTGTTTTCATTGGAATGCCTGAAAACTGTGACCTTCACAGGGCAAAAGACTGCAGAAATGAGGTTACTTGATCCTTACCACCTAAACAGTTTCATGTAGAATACAATCAATGTGGTTGTTGCTGCTGCTGTCTGTTAATTAACTCTGGTAATTAGCTTCAGGTGATTAACATTTTTAAAGAAGGGTTTTCATTATGAGATTTAGGCTAACAACCCATAAGGTCGTATGTACATTAATTTATTCCATTTCCACAATATACATTCTGGCTTTAATTAAAAGTAGCCAAGAGAAGCAGTTTCCTAGGGAAAGTTACAAAGAAAATTATACTTAACCCTTTTTTTTTTTTTTGTACTGAGAATCAAACTCAGGGTCTTGAGCTTACCACGCAGGCGCTGTACTGCTGAGCTAGGTCCCCAGCCCTACATAGAAAATTACAGAGAAATAAATTATAGAGGAAAAATGACAGAGATTAATAAAATAAACTAGACATTTCCTCTGACAATTAGACCACTTATAATTACACTGACATCAGACTAGGTAGAAAATTATGAGTGCAGCTAAATGTCCTTTCAAATTCCCCAAGAGGTTCAGTCTTCTTTTAACAAAAATAAAAATTCTGGTTTTCAGTTGAAGGAGCTGTGATTTTAGAAAGTATATCCCTTCAGTTTAAGAAATTTAGGATATCCTTTATTATGGGAAATGATTTTGATAATTTCCATTGAAGGCTGCCTCTCATCAGAGTTCTCCTCACTTAAAACATTATTTTGTTTGTTTTTTGAGACAGGGTCTCATTATGTAGTTGAGACTGCCCTGGAACTCACTCTGTAGCCCAAGCTGGTCTCGAACTCACAGCGATCCTCCTGCCTCAGCCTCCCAAGTGCTGGGATCATAGGCGTATGCCACCATGCCTGGCACCACTGGTCTCGATCACAGCGATCCTCCTGCCTCAGCCTCCCAAGTGCTGGGATCATAGGCGTATGCCACCATGCCTGGCACCTAAAACAGTTTTTGGATACCTTACAAACCAGAATGGGGCCAGTAGTTGGTGGGCTCTTCCCCCTGAATATTAGTTTTTTTAATATATTGATCCGTGATGAAAATGTTAGCTTATTTTTTATTCAGAGCCAAGAGACAGAAATTTATGAATTTTGAAAGGTCGGAAGTGTGCATTTTGTTTCCGTTTGGTGTTTCATATGTTTTGATAATCTGCTCTTTAAAACTTCAAACATAAGATGCATCTTCAAGTGACTGAATATTTCATCCATCCCAGTCTGTGAAGCCTTCTCTTGTGAATAAATGTGTGTAGACTTTGGATTGAGCTCTGTAGCTGAGATGTTTTCAGAGACAAAGTTGGAATAACTACAGAATGTACTCCACTTTGGTTTTCTGTCTTTTCTGTCTCTCTCTCCCCCTCTACCTTTTGCTTGCTTGTGTTCTTTCTTGTCTCAAATACTGATTTCTTTGTAGGTGGTTGCTCAGATGGGAGAAAATGGCATTTCTGTTGAACATTTTTTCTCACATAGTTGGAGATTTTTGCCAACAACTTTCTTAGAGACACGTGCAACTACTACTCTTACGTATGCTTCACTTGCCCTTTTTCTTTTCCTTCCACCTCCCTCCCTCTTTGTCTTTCTTCCTTCCTTTTTCATGTAGGGGTGAGAGGCAGCCTCCAGCCGTAAAAGCTGATTTCTTGATTCTGTCATAGGATTTTGGAGTAAAAGCATTTTGTCTCTCTGTGCTATTGCTTTTTGCAGCAAGACACTTACGAAATACTTAAACCAGGGAGAAATAGTTCATTCGAGTCATGAAATCCTTACACTGTTAAGTTTTTAAAATTTCCTCCCCAGCATCCTGATTGCTCGGGTTTGCTTGCATTTTCAGTCCCCTGAAGCACGTGCCACCTCCCTGGGGGCCTGGAGGGTGAAGCCATCCACACACAGAACGTCTTGCTGTGAACTTGTGCTTCTTTTTCGTGTACTCAAGGCTGGTTGTGACCAAATCAGCTTTTTTGTATTAGGTTATTTCACTAACTGCTACAGTCAAAATGATCAAATCTTTGTACAATAAAAAAGTATTTAAATTTTATTTTTCTACTGACATTTCTAATTCTAGTGTAAATGTTTAACAATAAAGAATTACTTTAAACTGAGTTGGAATTGCATTTCTTTTTCAGTAGTCAATAAGATTTAATCTTTTGTAATAAAGCTTTTATTTTGGTAATCTGTATGTTCATCTATTTTTTTAATGTTCAACTTTTACTAACTTGTAGGAAAATTCCTGTTCAAAGATGTAAATTGTATTTGGTTTTTTGTTTTTAGTCTTTTGTTTTATTTTTGTTATGTAGTTCAGTCTGGCCTTGAACTTACTATGTAGCCCAGGATGGCCTTGAATTTGCAGCAGTCCTGCCTCGGCCTTTCACAGTGCTGAGATGACAGGCTTGTGGCACTATGCCCAGCTTTCAAAGAAGCACTTACATGATTCTACACTAGGTTGGCTGAATACTGATAATAGTGTATAAAAATTTTTCTTCATTTCAGTAGTGAGTCCAACTGCTTAGCTAAATTAATGCCCTCAATGACAAAATCTCTTTCTGTTCTGCCATTTTCACCAAATTAGATTAACTTAAGTACCTCAGGATCATAAAGTGGTTGCCACAATTCCTGGCATTGCAGGCATACAGTTCATCCTTGCCTTAGGAACTTGATCAGTGCCCTAGGGCTGGTTGTAACTCAAGTTGGTTGTAAGAACAGCTGAGATCTGGATGTTTATCTAGATACATGCTATAGATACAGGCAGATGAATCTTCCATGAAGTAACCCAAGTTGTTTGTATGTCAGGAGGTTGTAATTTGAGGGTCCACTGTAAGGGTTTGGCAGGGGACAACTGCCTATTCATTTTTTTATCTTTTTTTTTTTTTTTTTTTTTTGTATTGGGGATCGAACTCATGTCCTTGCGCTTGTGGCAGTGGAATCACTGAGTAAATCCCCAGCCCTTACTGATTTTTAAAAATTGAGGTCTAACAGCAATGCACACAATTCTTACATACAGCTTCGTAGTTTACACAAATGTATACACTTAGACACTACCACTCACATCAAGAGAAGATTTCTAGCATCCCCAGAAGGATGAAAGCAGATAACATGCAAGTTCATCCAGAAGCCCCTTCAAGAGTGTGTACCCAGGATACAATGTGGTAGGAACTCAGTTCCCAAAAGGGAAAATCCGAGATCAAAACTGGAAAGTACTATGGCAGATGAGGCGCTGAAGACCTCCTAAATAACAGCCAAGACAAATAATAAACCAGGAATCAGAGGGAGGGGTTAGCACTGTGTCAGCCTGGGGAGTCCTGAAGGAGCCTAAAGGAGCCAGGTGTTGCTTCGTTCCAGTCTGTTTCTGTTTGAGGAATTAGGAGCTCACTATTGCCAGCCTTTCCAAGAGAAGCTGAAAATCTAGAGTATTTTGAATCTCATGTTTATTGATTGATTAGATGCTTGGGATTGACCATAGGGCTTCTGAGCTATACCCCCAGCCTGTAACTAGTTTAAATTCGTGTAAAATACTTTTATGACAAACAGTACATGTTTTAAAAAGTTGGAATTGACCTGCTTTTTTTTTTATTTCAGCTATTTGACACAATACAACATAGTTCTCCTGGTGACCAGCAAAGGGGTCAGAGATTGAGCTCACACTGGCATGAGCTGCAGAGAGCACCAGGAGAGGGTGTGGGGGGTCGCCGGAGGGCGAGGCTGCTGGAGGAGGCCAACAAGCTCTTTTTTTCCCCAGATTCACCCACTCCGTGAGGCTGGGGTGGGTGTCTTTACGCTGTCCAAGGAACATGAGCCCCAGAGAAACAAACTACCAAATACTGGGGTCAGATTTTGTATCTTTTCCTATTTACTCTCCCATAAGGCAAGCCTGCTTAAATGGATCATAAACTGAAATGTAAGAACTGAAACTATATAACACTTTAGAAGAAAAGTAACTTTGATGGTTTTGGCTTTGCAAATTATTCTGAAGTACAACTCCCAAAAGCACAAGAAACAAAATAGATAAACTAGACTTCAAAATTAAAACATGCTTCACAGGATGCCATTATAAGGAGACCCTGTTTTTTAAAAGAAAACAATTTTTTAAAAACCAAAAAACCAGATCTGGCAAGAGTATAGAAAAACAAACCCTAGCACTGGGGATTTAGCTCAGTGGATCCAACGCCTGTCCTGAGTTCGATCCCTGGTACCAAAAAAGAAAAAGAAAAACAGGAACCCTCACAAACTCTCATGAACTGCTGGTGAGATTATCAAATGGTGCAACCCCTTGAGAAAATAGTTTGGCAGTTCCTCAAAAGGTAAAATAATTACAATTGAGTAATCCCACTTCTAGGTTGCTCTGCTAGGAGAAATAGTTTTCTAAATGGAACTTTGAAAATGTCTTGCTAAGTGAAAGAAGCCAGTCACAAATGACCATCTGTTCACATATTGTATGATTCCATTTACACGAAGTATCCAGAAGAGGCAAATATATAGGTGCTGGTGAGCAGGACAAATGGTGAGTGACTACTAATGGGAAAAATTTCTTCTTGGGGTGATGAAAACTTTCTAAAATTGATTTGATGATGATTGTACAAGGTTGTGAATGTATAAAAAACTACTGAATTGTGTACTTTAGGTGGTTAGATTTTTTTGTCTGTTTTTTATTTTTTGAGACAGGGTCTCACTATGTAGTTGAGACTGACCTGGAACTCACTCTGTAGCCCAGGCTGGTCTCAAACTCACAGCGATCCTCCTGCCTCAGCCTCCCGAGTGCTGGGATTACAGGCGTGCGCCACCACGCCCAGGTATATGGCTAGATTTTATGGTGTGTGAATTGCACATTCATATAGCTGTTTTCTTTCTTTCTTTC